TCGGTCAGTCGACCCGTGGCACCTGCTGGGTCTGCCCCGTGACCTCCTGCCAGCGGGCGTTCGACACTTCACGTGGCCTCAAGGTGCACATGGCCTGGCACAAGCGTCGTGGTGACGTCACCGCCACTTAGTGGCGAATGACGGTTGTTGTTGTATGTGTGTACGTATGTGCGTGTGTATATGTGTGTGTATGTGTGTATATGTGTATGTATGTGTGCGTGTGTATATGTGTGTATATGTGTGTGTATGTGTGTACGTGTATGTGTGGAGCGGAGCGGTAGTGTAGTGTAGCGGTTAGCGCGCTGCGCTATGAACCTGGCGACCCGGGTTCGATTCCCGCTCACGGCTAACACCAGTGACGATTATCTGAACCGGTCCTGGGCCTCCCCTAGGTCGACTCAGCCTTAAATGAGTACCTGGTGCGGTGTGTAAACATCGCCACTAGGGAGACAAAGGCGGTCGGGCGTGGTGCTGGCCACCCACCCCCTCGTGTACCGTTCCGGCCTTCATAGGTGCTCGCTAACAGCACTTGCCCCTACAGTCTGTTAAGGCTATACGGGGGATCTTTGTCTTTGTCTTTGTGCGTAAAGTGTTCGACCCGAGATCGATTCCCGCTCACGGCCAGCACCAGCAACGGTTGTCTGAACCGGTCCTGGACCTCCCCTAGGTCGACTCAGCCTCAAATGAGTACCTGGTGCGGTGTGCAGTAAACGTCGCCACTGGAGAGACAAAGGCGGCCGGGCGTGGAGCTGGCCACCCATCCCCTCGGGTGGGTGTTACAGGCTATACGGGGGCTCTTTGTACAGTTTAACACATGGGCTTTCGCAAGTCTGGCTGCCGCCTGATGATGCCGGTTGTAATCACTGGCGAAACGTCGTACTCGGATTGTAAATGTTGTGGCTTGGCTCTCCAACACACCGGTTAGTGCTGTACTAGTATACTACACTATACACTACACTATACACTAGTGCTGTACTAGTATACTACACTATACACTAGTGCTGTACTAGTATACTACACTATACACTAGTGGTGTACTAGTACACTACACTATACACTACACTATACACTAGTGCTGTACTAGTATACTACACTATACACTAGTGCTGTACTAGTATACTACACTATACACTAGTGCTGTACTATACACTACTATACACTAGTGCTGTACTAGTGACGAATTGGCCACGTTCTGTTTACGTGACAAACCTTACCGATTGGCCGTGTCGGGTGGTAGCGGGTTTAACGACACATATATTTACGCGATCTAACCCCCCAGAAACACCTCCATTGTCATTGTGTAGTGTCGGGTTGTTCAGCTGGGTGGACAGAGGACGGGGTGTGCGATGGGGGGGGGGGGGGGATTCTAAGAAACTTGCCCCATTGTTTCAACTGCTGCACCGGGAGATGAAATCGAACCGTCGGACCTCTGGGCTGCAGGTCCAGAGTGATGCCAACCATCACACCAATGACCCGCGAAGCCAAAGGAGGGATACGTGTGTGTCTTTGTATGTGCATCTTGTGTGTTTTTACGTGTGTCTTTGTACGTGTGTATGTGTGTCTTTGTATGTGTGTGTCTTTGTACGTGCATCTTGTGTGTCTTTGTATGTGTGTGTCTTTGTACGTGTGTGTCTTTGTACGTGACTTTGTACGTGTGTTTTTGTATGTGTGTCTTTGTATGTGTGTGTCTTTGTATGTGTGTGTCTTTGTAGTGCATCTTGTGTGTCTTTGTACGTGTGTGTCTTTGTACGTGCATCTTCGCCTGTTATACAGCATGCAAACTGTGTGTGTATTTGTGTCGATATATATTTGTATAAAATTTTGTATACACATCGCGAGCACTGCATGGTGTGCGTGGCTTAATTTACGCCGGGTTTGTCCGGGAAAACAAAAAACCCTCCGGCACACCACATCCAGTATCCACATTTTGCTACCGCTGTGGTTATTCAATTACGTTCTGTATGCATGTATGTTCGCGCGCGTGTGTAAAAACTCCGCATATGGCTGTTCTCACCGATACACAAACACATATACATCGACTGTACACACATACACACCGATTCAAACAGCTTCAATTACATAGACAAAGGTCGTGGCCATGACTGTTGAAGAGAACGCCGGGAAAAGTGAAGATTTGGGTCCCCTCGTGCATCGCACAGTGTCGCTTTTCGTCGTCAACATATCCACGCGGATGTACGCAATCCTTCGGCATACTGTGGAGGTATCTGGGGGTGGGGGGGTTGGTGGTTCACCGTGCGATTTGTCGCATGTACGGGATCGGAGTGTTTCCCCGATCGCTAACGCTGGGTTTTCTTCGGCGGCTCTGGCTTAATCCCACATGTAAACGCGCATTCGTTTTTTGCCGGTGACACCCTTTCGCACCCTCCGATTGGCACGGTTGGCTACGTACGGTGCGAAAGAAGTTCAACATACTATGGGAACCTAATTTGCCAGTAAAAATATGATAATTGGTTCTTTACCCTTCTATCTGGCAACAAAACTGACACATTTTTACAAGGAGTCATGTTTGCATAGACCGCAATACCTGCAGTCATAATACAAACAAAAGAACATAACTCTGATAATGTGCACTGTCCTTGAAGTTGATTGGTCCACACCCGAGACAGCTTTCCTTAGAGCCTAGTCTCATATGGGTTGGACCAGATGACGCCAAAAGGCGCACAACTCAAAGACAATGCGTATGAGAGCTCGGGGTAAGCATTTACACCATTGGAACCTCATTTGCCAGTTTTGTTGCCAGATAGAAGGGTAAAGAACCAATTATCAAGTTCAACATACATTCATATACACAGAGGACCGCAGAGCTCGGGAAATTGTAGGCAGCGCCGCGTACTTTCTGCTACCTCTCCCGCTCACCTGTGGTTCCTCCTCGCGCCTCCGAGTCGTTCTCTCTCTATGATAATGATTATTATTGTCACGTAATTATGATTGTTATATATAGACGGTACCCAGCTGCACTCCCCGTGTCTGACGAGGCAGCCGTGAGACCAAACTTCAAACCCGTCAACGCTGGGCACCGCTGACGTCACGCACGATTTTAAATAAAGATAAACTAAAGTATAATAATAGTATAATAATATAATAATAATAGGGGTTTTCCCCCTTTTTTCTGGCAACAAAACTGAAACCATTTTACAAGGATTCATGTCTAATATAATAATATTTTTTTAGATTTAAAGCTTTCGTGACTGCAGGGATTCATATTCTTGGTTCTTTCGGTAAAGTCACGTAGAAGGGAAATAATAAAATAATATAAATATAAAACAATAAAAATTCTCACGACGTTTCGTCTGCAAGACAAGCAATCATCATCATGTGCAAAATCCACAGCAATAATTTTTTTTTTAAACTGTGTGTCTAAAAAAAAAATTCTTGCTGTGGATTTCACACCTGATGATGATTGCTTGTGTTGCAGTCGAAACGTCGTGAGAATTTTAATTGTTTAATATTTTTATTATTTTATTATTTCCCTTTAACGTGACTTTACCGAAAGAACAAAGAATATAATAATATTGTTCAAATTAAACTGATTCTGCGGGCTATGACGCGGCGCGAGGTTTAATGCTGCTGCTGCTGCTGCTCTGTAAGGAGGGCGAGTTAAAGCCATTCGATGCTGATACTACCACGAATGAAGGTCTCAAGGCGAGCTGCTGGTCACACACTGCGGGCGAAACGAGTCGAGGCTGAGCCTCGATCGTCCCCATTGCACTGCACGAGCGTCCCACTCGTGCACAGAGCTCTCGGGAACAACATCGATCGTGTCAACCCCGGGCTGTGGAATCTATAGCCCGTGACCTCGCCTGACACAGCCCCGTGACCTCACACGGTCCCGTGACCTCACGACCCCGTGACCTCACCTCACACGACCCGTGACCTCACCTCACACGACCCCGTGACCTCACACGACCCCGTGACCTCACCTCACACGGCCCCGTGACTTCACACGACCCCGTGACCTCACCTCACACGGCCCTTGACTTCACCTCACACGACCCCGTGACCTCACACGACCCCGTGACCCTCATCTCACACAACCCCGTGACCTCACCTCACACGGCCCTTGACTTCACCTCACACGACCCCGTGACCTCACACGGTCCGTGACCTCACCTCACACGACCCCGTGACCTCAACCTCACACGACCCCGCGACCCTCGGCCACATGAGGCCTACCAACTTAGAAGCGTTTCTCCATCACGGATCGCATCTTAGCCACATTAATGAGCTGGTCGAGGCGAGATGGTATTTTGGACCTGCTAACAGCATTGTGATTCTAATATTAGCTCGCTCGCTCACTTACTCGTGGCACTGCAAGGGCGCCTCGAGATTTGCTCGACGCTCGAGTTATGCCGCACATTATTATTAGAGAACGCGAATGCTAATGTGCGTTTGTTATCATGGCGAGCGATAGCGTAGCGGTTAGCGCTACGAACCCAGTTCGATTGCTGCTCATGGTCAACGCCAGTGACGATTATTTGAATCAGTCTTGGGCTTTCCCCCCCCCCCCCGCCCCATGGTCGACTCAGCCTCAAATAAGTGCCTAGTGGTGATGTTTACACGTCAACACAAAGGCTGCGGGACGTGGTGCTGGCCGCCCACTTCCTCGTGTGCCATGCTTGAAAGGTGCTCGCGAACAGCACTTTCCCCAATATTCTGCTGAGGCTATACGGGGGATCTTTGTCTTTGTGCGGCTGTGGAGTCTCTGCGAGCCTCAGTTGCCGTCAATGTCTAGGAGCCTCTTTGTGATTTAATGGGTCTCTGCAAGCACACGAGGTGGACTAATAGGGTACGAAGGGTGAATATTTTTCGACGATATTGGAAAGTCCCATTGAGCCCCCAGTATTTCAACGTTTCCAACCCCCCCCCCCCCCAACACACACACAGACAGGCACACACACACAACAAACACAGAGCCACGTCAAGCGTTTACAGACCGCTGGAGCAAGTGCTGTTTGCGAGCACCTAAGATACTCGTCGGAAACGTGGTCACCCATTTTGGTAGCCGCGCGCTGCCTGCAATCGAACGCGTGTGGCTGCATAGCCGCTCGCCAACAGCACCTCCCCCGAGAGTCTGCTCGAGGCTACGTGTGCGATCTTTTCCTGTCGCCTTCACAGGATCCGTCCCGGCAGTGTCATCAGCTCCTTCTCGTCCTCGTCCTCGTCGCACCCAGACCCCACGTGGTCCTTGCTCGCCACTCCGGGACCCCCGCCGGGCTCCGTGTGAATCGGCGTGGCTCGCAGGGGGACCTCCTGGGCCGGGGGGCACCTCGCCTCGGGGGTCCCCTCGCGGTCCCCACGGCCACCGCGCGCGCACATCTTGAACCTCCAGGACAGCCCCCCCGAGCCGGTCCCCCCTCCGCCGCAGCAGCGCCCCCCTCCGCAGGAGGATGTAGACCCACGGGTCGAGGATCTGGCTGAGAGATGCGAGGCGCACGGCCAACAGCTCCTTGACGCAGCGGTGCGGTGAGTGGTCCTTGCCGCCCGGGGGAGACACAAGCTTGGCCGTCATCACCACCTGGAGCGGCGGAGGGGGAGGGGGAGCAGTGAGACATTGTGGAGGTGGTGATGTGACACATGGATGAGTAGGAGTGAGACATTGAGGAGGTGGTGATGTGACACATGGAGGGGGAGCAGTGAGACATTGAGGAGGTGGTGATGTGACACATGGAGGATGAGTAGGAGCAGTGAGACATTGAGGAGGTGGTGATGTGACACATGGAGGATGAGAATGAGTAGTGAGACATTGAGGAGGTGGTGATGTGACACATGGAGGGTGAGGAGGAGCAGTGAGACATTGAGGAGGTGGTGATGTGAGACATGGAGGAGGAGTAGGAGGAGCAGTGAGACATTGAGGAGGTGGTGATGTGAGACATGGAGGAGGAGTAGGAGGAGCAGTGAGACATTGAGGAGGTGGTGATGTGAGACATGGAGGAGGAGGAGGAGGAGGAGCAGTGAGACATTGAGGAGGTGGTGATGTGACACATGGTGGATGAGTAGGAGGAGCAGTGAGACATTGAGGAGGTGGTGATGTGAGACATGGAGGAGGAGTAGGAGGAGCAGTGAGACATTGAGGAGGTGGTGATGTGACACATGGTGGATGAGTAGGAGGAGGGGCAGTGAGACATTGAGGAGGTGGTGATGTGAGACATGGTGGATGAGTAGGAGGAGCAGTGAGACATTAATGAGGTGGTGATGTGAGACATGGTTGAGGATGAGTAGGAGGAGCAGTGAGATATTGAGGAGGTGGTGATGTGACACATGGAGGATGAGTAGGAGCAGTGAGACATTGAGGAGGTGGTGATGTGAGACATGGAGGAGGAGTAGGAGGAGCAGTGAGACATTGAGGAGGTGGTGATGTGACACATGGTGGATGAGTAGGAGCAGTGAGACATTAATGAGGTGGTGATGTGAGACATGGTTGAGGATGAGTAGGAGGAGCAGTGAGATATTGAGGAGGTAGCGATGTGAGAACATGGAGGTTGAGGATGAGGAGGAGTGATGCTCGACACGTCCCCTGCCCATGCCCGCCACACTCGCCGTGACGCTCTCCACTCCGCCTCGGTCCCCAGCGAGCGCTCAGCTCGCATCCCTCACCCCCCCCCCCCAACTCGGACCTCTGCTGACCGCAATTAGCGCTTCACATGCCCCCCCCCAATCCCCCAAAGGAACGCTCAGGGAGCGGGGAGGGGGCGAGAGGATGAGCGGGGGCCGTTGACAGGAGCCTCTTTAAAACACCGCAGCTGCTGGGCGCAGCCGCCAATGTGTTGTAACGCAAAGCCAATAATCGGACGACGTTTCGGGCAATGGGTCATCTTCATAGCAGGGCGGATGGGGCTTGGGGTGAGGGTTGTTCTGTTATAATTGGCGCGTGTGCACCGCTTTGGTGACAGCGCGTTGCAAGACGTTTAACTCGCAAGGTAACTGGGTCGACCCTTGACTCGCCAACCCATCAGCCACACGTAGGCTACGTGGATTTTCGTGCGATTTGAAATTTTTTAAAATTTTTCATGAGAGGTTTATATTGAAAGTGGAACTTGTTAATTAGTTTGTTACGAGATAATTCGATTTTCTGCAAAAAAAAAAATATACACCAATACATTGAATGCAACATTTTTTTTCTCCATTACATTGAATTTGTATTAATAAATAACAAATACGTAAGATAATTCCCGGTAGTGGCTGAGCACACTGCACGGATGAACGTGAACACTGCAACGGGTGGGAACGAGTCCCTGGCACGTGGCGTGCGGTGGCATTGGGAGCGTGAATTTCACGCGAAAAGTGACTGCGGCGGGTAGCGGATACGAGAACGGCGAGGAAGCGACTGGACTGCTGGTTGCAGCCAGGGTCAGCTTCCCCCAGTAGCGGGGTGAGCGGGGCTTCGGTTCAACTGGGTCTGTCCAGGTAGGCGACCCAGAAGAACATAATCTTATCCGCACTCATGCATCCCGAATATCTGCATCACCACCACCACCACCAGCATGACCGCCGCCACCAGCAGCAGCACCACCACCACGACCACCACCACCACGACCACCACCACCACCACCACCACCGCCGCCACGACCACCACCACCACCACCACCGCCGCCACGACCACCACCACCAGCACCACCACCACCACGACAACCACCAGCACCAGCACGACCACCACCACCACCACCAGCACCACCACCAGCACCACCACCACCACGACAACCACCACCACCACCACCACGACCACCACCACCAGCACCACCACCACCACCACCACCACGACAACCACCAGCACCAGCACCACCACCAGCACCATCGCTAGCACCACCACCACCACCAGCACCACCACCACCAGCAGCACCACCACCAGCACCCCGCTACTTTGCCCACCCGCCCCGATCACTCACCAGCAGTGGTCCCCAGCAAGCCCACAGCACGGCTGAGATCCCCATGAGCTGCAGGACCGCCTCGGACCTGGGCCCGCCGAGGCATCTCTGACCTCCGCACTGCGTCTTCTCATGCTGCTGATTCTGCTGCTGCTGTTGGTGACGGCGATGCTGTATCCACGACTTGACCACGAATGTGAGCGTGGAGGCGTTGCAGGCCGTGGTGACGAGCAGGGAGCAGAGTCCCGTGAGCGAGAATGCGAGGGGCACGGCGGCGGCGGCGAGCGAGCCTGGGGCGCCCGTGCTCAGAAAGCACCACGTGTCCGGCCACTGCAGCACGTAGCGGCCCACGCCTAGCGGCACGGAGCAGCACGGGACCAGCACCAACAACATCATCACCAACATCGCAATCATCATCACCACCACCATCACCAACATCGCAATCATCATCGCCACCACCATCACCAACATCGCAATCGTCATCACCACCACCAACATCGCAATCATCATCATCACCACCACCACCACCACCAACATCGTAATCATCATCACCACCACCACAATCATCATCACCACCACCACCATCACCAACATCGCAATCATCGCCACCACCAACATCGCAATCATCGCAATCATCATCACCACCACCAACACCACCAACATCGCAATCATCATCACCACCACCAACACCACCAACACCACCAACATCGCAATCATCATCACCACCACCACAATCATCATCACCACCACCATCACCAACATCGCAATCATCGCCACCACCACCACCACCACCAACATCGCAATCATCATCACCACCACCAACATCGCAATCATCGCCACCACCACCGTCGTCGTCGTCACCGCCACCAAGACAATCACCACCATCGTCACCCCCACCACGATCATGACCACCATTATCATCATCGCCACCACAATCATCACCACCACCACCACTACGATCATCACCATCACTGCCATCACCATCATCATCCACCACCACGATCATGACCGCCACCATTATCATCATCATCATCATCGCCACCACCACAATCATCACCACCACTACTACTACCATCATCACCATCACTGCCATCACCACCACCACGATCATGACCACCACCATTATCATCATCATCACCACCACCAACATCATCCCCATCACTGCAATCACCACCATTGTCACCACCACCACGATCATGACCACCATTATCATCGCCACCACAATCATCACCACCACCACTACCATCATCACCATCACTGCCATCACCACCATCACCATCGTCACCACCACCACGATCATGACCACCACCATTATCATCATCATCACCACCACCATCATCCCCATCACTGCAATCACCACCATTGTCACCACCACCACCACGACGATCATGACCACCATTATCATCGCCACCACAATCATCACCACCACCACCACTACCATCATCACCATCACTGCCATCACCACCATCACCACCACCACGATCATGATCACCATTATCCTCATCATCATCATCGCCACCACCACAATCACCACCACAATCACCACCACCATCATCCCCATCACTGCAATCACCACCATCACCATCGTCACCACCACCACCACCACGATCATGACCACCACCATTATCATCATCACCACCACCAACATCATCCCCATCACTGCAATCACCGCCATTGTCACCACCATCATTAGTAGCCATGTGCTGGATGAAGGCTTCTCTACCATTACCAACACGAGTCATGATCTATCTACTGCTCAATAATGACTTTACCACGCCATAACCAACAGTCATATTGCCATAATCATTAGTAGCCATGGCCGATCCACTGCTGGAATCATGTTAAGACGGTGGCCTTAAAAGAATATATACATAAAATAGACGTTTCGGGCAATGACCATTCTTAAAAGCACGTTATTAGTTGTTTCTGTGAGTTCACGCACCTCGCATCATTTTTGTTTTACTCGCAAGAATCAATCTGGAGGCAATTCGCTGCCTGCCACGACTTCCTCGTTCCTCCACGGAAAAAACAAAGAAACCCCGCTAAGTATTCTACTAAACACATCCCAGCAGAGTTCTAAACACATCCCAGCAGAGTTCTAAACACATCCCAGCAGAGTTCTATTAAACACATCCTATCAGAGTTCTAAACACAACTCAGCAGAGTTCTAAACACAACCCAGCAGAGTTCTAAACACATCCCAGCAGAGTTCTATTAAACACATCCTATCAGAGTTCTAAACACAACTCAGCAGAGTTCTAAACACAACCCAGCAGAGTTCTAAACACATCCCAGCAGAGTTCTAAACACAACCCAGCAGAGTTCTAAACACATCCCAGCAGAGTTCTGTTAAACACATCCTATCAGAGTTCTAAACACAACTCAGCAGAGTTCTAAACACAACCCAGCAGAGTTCTAAACACATCCCATCAGAGTTCTAAACACAACTCATCAGAGTTCTAAACACAACCCAGCAGAGTTCTAAACACATCCCATCAGAGTTCTAAACACATCCCAGTAGAGTTCTAAACACAACCCAGCAGAGTTCTAAACACAACTCAGAATAGTTCTAAACAACCCCCATCAGAGTTCTAAACAGAACTTATCAGAGTTATAAACACAACTCAGCAGAGTTCTAAACACAGCAGAGTTCTAAACACATCCCAGCAGAGTTCTAAACACAACCGAGCAGAGTTCTAAACACAACCCAGCAGAGTTCTAAACACATCCATTCAGACCTCTAAACACAACCCAGCAGAGTTCTAAACACAAGCCAACAGAGTTCTAAACACAACGCAGCAGAGTTTTAAACACATCCCAGCAGAGTTCTAAACACATCCCAGTAAAGTTCTAAACACATCACAGTAAAGTTCTAAACACAACCCATCAGAGTTCTAAACGCAATTCAGCAGAGTTCTAAACACAACGCAGCAGAGTTCTAAACACATCCCAGCAGAGTTCTAAACACATCCCAGCAGAGTTCTAAACACAACTCAGCAGAGTTCTAAATACAACTCATCAGAGTTCTAAATACAACTCATCAGAGTTCTAAACACAACCTCCAGCAGAGTTCTAAACACAGCAGAGTTCTAAACACAACCGTCAGCAGAGTTCTAAACACAAAACCCAGCAGAGTTCTAAACACAACCCAGCAACATCCCAGAAACAACAAAACACCTCTGGACCATTTCCAAGATTCAGCGTCGCATCGGCAATCTGCAGGCTCGCTTGCAACCGATCGATGGTGGGTGAGAATTGCAGATGCCAAGAAGCGAGAACCCCCCTTCCACCACCAACCCCCACTCTGTGTGCGATGTGGATCCCACGTCGAATGAACGAAGGGGAAAAATCGTCGGCGCCGTTTTTGTGGCACAACAAGCAGCGAAGTGAAATGAGCGTTCGGCGGAGGAGGAGGAGATACGCGAAGGAGGCGTTTGTCTTTCCCTCTGTTGTGAAATTGACTCAGCCCATCATCCCCAAAGGGTCGATACAAATGTGGGGGAGACAACAGCGGGTAACAGGTGCTTGTACGTTCTCTTTATTTAGAGGTTTCCCTGGCGCGTAGTCGGGGTCCACACTTGATTTGTTTAATATGTTGATGTTCGGCCACGTAATGATCGCACCGAACGTGTGTCGTCAGATACCCTCCACCACCCAACGCAGCGAATCGGGAGATCGTTCTTCGCCATACCACCTACAACACCAACAACACCACCACTACCAACAACAGCACCACCACCAACAACAGCACCACCAACAGCACCACCACCAACAACAGCATCACCACCACCAACACCACCACCAACAGCACCACCACCAATAACAGCATCACCACCATCAACAGCACCACCAACAGCACCACCACCACTAACAACAGCACCACCACCAACACCACCAACAACAGCACCACTACTAACAATAGCATCACCACCACTACCAACAGCACCACCACCAATAACAGCATCACCACCACCAACAGCATCACCACCACCAACAGCACCACCACCCACAGCACCACCACCACCCACAGCACCACCACCACCCACAGCACCACCACCAACAGCACCACCAACACCAACAACACCACCACCAGCATCACCACCCACAGCACCACCCACAGCACCACCACCACCCACAGCACCACCACCAACAACACCACCACCAACAGCATCACCACCACCAACAGCACCACCCACAGCACCACCACCAGCACCACCACCAGCACCACCACCTACAGCACCACCACCCATACCACCACCACCCACAGCACCACCACCCACAGCACCACCACCACCCACAGCACCACCAACAGCAACACCACCACCAACACCACCACCCACACCACCACCCACAGCACCACCACCCACAGCACCACTACCAACCACAAGCACCAGCACCACCCACAGCACCACCACCAGCACAACCACCACCACCCACAGCACCACCCACAGCACCACCACCACCCACACCACCACCCACCAGCACCACCACCCACCACCCACAGCACCACCCACAGCACCACCACCCACACCACCACCACCACCACCACCACCCACCACCACCACCACCACCACCACCACCACCACCACCACCACCACCACCACCACCACCACCACCACCACCACCACCACCACCACCACCCACAGCACCACCACCCACACCACCACCACCAGCACCACCACCCACACCACCACCACCCACACCACCACCACCAGCACCACCACCACCACCCACAGCACCACCACCCACACCACCACCACCAGCACCACCACCCACAGCACCACCACCCACACCACCACCACCAGCACCACCACCCACACCACCACCACCCACACCACCACCACCAGCACCACCACCCACACCACCACCACCCACACCACCACCACCACCACCACCACCACACCACCACCACCCACACCCACACCACCACCACCCACACCACCACCACCAGCACCACCACCCACACCACCACCACCCACACCACCACCACCAGCACCACGCGCCTTTACCGAGGAGCGGCAGCGCAGAGAAAACGAGTGCTGCCACCCACACGGCGCCCGCCACCGCTGCGGCGAGGCGCGTGGTGACCCACCGCTTGTACCACCACCAACCACAGCACCACCAACAGCAACACCACCAACACCACCACCACCACCACCCACACCACCACCCACAGCACCACCACCCACAGCACCACCCACAGCACCACCAACAAGCACCACCCACAGCACCACCACCACCACCAACACCACCACCACCAGCACCACCACCACCAGCACCACCCACACCACCACCAGCACCACCACCAGCACCACCACCACCAGCACCACCCACACCACCACCACCACCACGCGTCTTTACCGAGGAGCGGCAGTGCAGAGAAAACGAGTGCTGCCACCCACACGGCGCCCGCCACCGCTGCGGCGAGGCGCGTGGTGACCCACCGCTTGTAGGCGTACGGCCTCCGCACGGCCACGTTGCGCTCCAGTGCCATCGCGCACGCGAACAGCAACGGGCACAGCCCGAACGCCACCATGCAGAAGCCGAAGTAGTCGCAGAGGCGTCCAGAGGCGTCCAGGGCGTGCCACGAGCCGCCCGCGTACGCGGCGATGACGACCGGCGTGGTACTGAGCTTGCCCAGGAGATCCGTGAGGACCAGGGCACCCACGAGGATGAGAAATGGTCTCTTGCGCGCGCTCTGCCGACGCGGGTACGCGCGTCGGATCAATGCGAGCGCGATTGCGTTGCCGGTCACGCCGGCTACCATCATGAGCGCCGGGTACATGACCTGGACACATGATCCTCCGCCGACGCTACTGCCGCGGCTACCGCCGTCGCAACCCTGAGTCCGGGTGGCGTTGTGCGCAGCGCCAGGTGGAGTGTGACTCCAGTTGGGGGAGGAGGAGGAGGGATGAAGGTTGACGGCGTCGGCGTGGTCACACATTGAGAGGAGCAGGTGGAGGTGGTTGGGGTTAGGAGCGGTGGCTTGCTGTGGTTGTGGTGAGTTTGATGGTTTGCTGTTGTTCAATCTGTTGATGGTTGTTGTTGGTGGTGGTGGTGTGGATGATGATTGTTATCGGGTGTATTGTTGTGTTGATGGTTGTGGTGGTATGGTTGTGGTTGTGGTTGTTGGTGGTGGTGGTGTGGATGATGATTGTTATCGGTTGTATTGTTGTGTTGATGCTGGTGGTGGTATGGTTGTGGTTGTTGGTGGTGGTGGCTGTAAGACGTCGCAGTGCAGCGCGCAGCACGAGTCGCGCATTGTGGTTGCAATGCGCGGTGCTTCTCGAGATTTTATCAACTCCCACCACTCCACTCCCTCCCTCCTCGCTCCCTCCCTCCCCCCATCACCACCACCCTCACTCCACTCTCCCTCCAACACCACCACCACCCTCACTCCACTCTCCCTCCAACACCACCACCACCCTCACTCCCTCCCTCCATCATCAACACCACCACCCTCACTCCACTCTCCCTCCAACACCACCACCACCCTCACTCCACTCTCCCTCCATCACCACCACCACCCTCACTCCACTCTCCCCATCATCACACACCACCACCCTCACTCCACTCTCCCTCCATCACCACCACCACCCTCACTCCACTCTCCCCCCCATCACCACCACCACCCTCACTCCACTCTCCCCCAAGCACCACCACCACCCTCACTCCACTCTCCCTCCAATCACCACCACCACCCTCACTCCACTCTCCCTCCATCATCAACACCACCCTCACTCCACTCTCCCTCCATCACCACCACCTCACTCACTCTCCCTCCAACACACCACCCTCAGCCCACTCTCCCTCCAGCACCACCACCACCACCTCACTCCACTCTCCCCCCATCACCACACACCCTCACTCCACTCTCCCTCCCCTCCACCACCACCACCCTCACTCCACTCTCCCTCCAACACCACCACCACCCTCACTCCACTATCCCCCAACACCATCACCACCCTCACTCCACTCTCCCCCCATCACCACCACCACCCTCACTCCACTCTCCCTCCATCACCACCACCACCCTCACTCCACTCTCCCTCCAACACCACCACCACCCTCACTCCACTCTCCCCCCATCACCAACACCACCACCCTCACTCCACTCTCCCCCACAACGGCGCCTGTGCCAGGCCAGGTGCACTTTGAGGCTGCCACGTGAAGTGTTGAAGTGTTCGCTGACAGGAGGTCTCGGGAGAGACCCAGGTGACTGACATGACTGGTTGATGCGCCAGCTGTACCCCCCCGCCCCCCACTGTGCCAACTCGCTGCATTTTAGCTGCCCTGCGTTCTTCTCAGTCTCCTCCATCACCCCCATCACCACCCCAACTCCACTCTTCCTCCTCCCACGCCCATCACCACCCCCATCATCCACACCATCACCACCCCCATCACCACACCATCACCACCCCCATCATCCACACCATCAGCACCCCCATCACCACACCATCACCACCCCCATCATCCACACCATCACCACCCCCATCACCCACACCATCACCACCCCCATCACCCACACCATCACCACCCCCATCATTCACACCATCACCACCCCCATCATTCACACCATCACCACCACCATCACCACCCCCATCAAGCACACCATCACCACCCCCATCACCACAACCCACCATCACCACCCCCATCACCACAACCCACCATCACCACCCCCATCACCACAACCCACCATCACCACCTCCACGCACCCCCCCCCCCTCCTCTGATCGTCTATCGTTACCCGCATTCACCAACCCGCACTGCCCGGCGTGGTGACGTATGGTCAAATATCCCCCGCCCGATACAGCATGAAGAGGGGGGGGGGGGGGCTTATCCAGCAGTGGAGTGAGTGACACATGACGTCATTATCATCACTGACGTCTTTGTATTAATTGACACGCTGCAGTCAGGAACGCACCATTCTCTGTTGTTCATTTCCCATCGGTTGGCACAGCAGCCATCGTCATCATCATTCGCACTACGTCAATCCTACTGCTGGATGAACATCGCCACCTCTCACGCTCGGGCCACGATGGGGTAACCTGCACGCGAGCTGATTTCATCGCTCCGTCTCCTAGAAGGTCCAAACTCTCTAACCACGCGTGCCGACGTTGCCAGCAAAACTAGGAGGGGTTGTTCCTCCATCATCGGCTCGTGTGTTTTTATTTATTTCTAGATTTGAAGCTTTCGTGACTGCAAGGATTCATATTCTTAGGTGTTTTTTTCGGTAAAGTCACGTAGGTAAAAATTTAAATTAATAAAAGTAAAATAAATAAAAATCACGACGTTTCGGAGGCGAACACAAGCTTCCGTCTTCAGGTGGAACCGTCACAGCACGATAGCTGTATCAAGTGAGAGAAATTCCAAGAACACAGTATTTGTATATATACTGGTTGAGGGTGGGAGGAGCCAAGGTTAGGTCCTGAATATTATTTTTGTGAGGTTCGGTGCGGCTGAAGCACGCAAATCTTTTACCTACGTGACTTTACCGAAAAAACCTAAGAATATGTTTTCATTTATTTTCTCGCATCATTTCATCCAGCGGAGTTTGAATGCCCGTGCGTGCATTGTTAGCATTGGTAGCGTTGTCCGTTGAGAAGTTCCCGATTTTCGGTTTGACACGAACATTTTTTACAAAAAATTTCAGCAAAGTTCCGAATTATATTCTCGGTTCTTTCGGTAAAGTCGCGTAGAAAGTAAATAATAAAATAATATAAATATAAAACAATAAAAATTCTCACGACGTTTCGACTGCAACACAAGCAATCATCATCAGGTGTGAACTCCACAGCTGTGGATTTAACACGTTATAATTTTTATTGTTTTATATTTATATTCTTTTATTATTTCCCTTCTACGTGACTTTACCGAAAGAACCAAGAATATGAATCCCTGCAGTCACGAAAGCTTTAAATCAAAAGTTCCGAATTGTTTCGTTTTTGTTGTTGCTGTTGTTGTGTTTTGGACTCTTCCGAAAAGGTGACGTCACGCGAAGTGTGCGTCGATCAATGACGTCACACCCACAATTCAGATTTCACAACAACAACAAAAAACCCCACAATCGAACACGAAGCACAACCACAGACAGAGACAATCAAGGGAGGCTCACTTAATGGATTGTCTTGTACCTCGTCGAGTGGAGCGAGACACATTGACCCGTGACCCGTAGCTGCTTCCGTCGACTCAATGGGATGAATCAAATGTCCCATCGGAAGCAATCTTCGTGACGCAGTTTTTTTTGTTTGTCTCCGTAAACACTCTAACTCGAGTCGCCGAGTTGAAAACACCATGTCGAAAACTCACGGCGCGCCGGACAACCCTCGCGTCGGCAATACGGTGTTGTCGTGACCATACTTCACCACTCTGGTCCACTGCTGTTTGGTGAAGAGGCATGGGGGAGGGGAAGCCCTATGGACTGATCTTCTTGGTTCTTTCGGTAAAGTCACGTAGAAGGGAAGTAATACAATAATAAAAATAAAACATAATAAAATAAATTTATTATTTTATTAATAATTTTATTATTTTATTACTTCCCTTCTACGTGACTTTACCGAAAGAACCAAGAAGATGAATCCCTGCAGTCACGAAAGCTTTAAATCCCTATGGACTGGTTCAGATGTCGCTCGACGCTGTCGTCAGCCGTGGCCAGGTATCGAATTCAGGTCGCCAGGTCCATAGCGCAGTGTATGTATGTTGAACTTCTTTCACACCGTACGCGTGCTAACCACTGCGCCACTGCTCCACCCCTGAACCAAACAATATCATCAGCCATGGTCACTCCACTGCTGGATGATGGCCTCCTCTCAATCCTGCGATGAAATCGACCTCACAGCATCCGCACGTGAACAATACATTGCAAAAACGTGCTCCTGCAACTGACACAAGACTCTTGTTGCCCATTACGCATCGATCCAGCCGAGGAGTGCAGCCTCATCGACCTGCAGCGTGGACGAGAGAGAGAGATTAAGGAGATGGGGGGGGGGTGGTGGGGGGGTGGTGGGGTGCTTGGAGGAAGGCAGAGAGAGAGAAGCGAAGTCGGGGGCTACAGCGAGCGAGAGAAACGAGAGATAGCTCAAAAAGAACAGCACGTGGATCAGGGAACACGCCGTCGACATCGGAGACATCGTGATTGTGGCTGTTGAGAAACAAAGAAGCGAGTGGGCATTGGCATGACGTATGGCGGCTGGGAGGTACGCTGGTCGCTGTGGTCGAGACTGGCGAGGGAATGGCAGTCAAAGGACAGCAGCGCACGTCCTAGGATACAAACCAAGAGGATCGATTCGTCGAGCAACACAGACTTGTGGTCACGGCTGGGTGTGGCTGCGTACATTCGCGCGGTTGTGCCCTGTAGCTCTCGGATGTTTGTTCGGGTTGTACCACGTGTCGTTTTGCAATCATGTCCGACGTTTCGCGCCACGTGCTGAGAGATTTTTTTGGACGCCACGGTGGCGAGATGTTAACTACCTGGCCTGGCATGCAGGGAGGTCGTGGGTTCGACCCCAACCCTGATGCCTGTGTACAGGGTGCTTTAAAAAATGTGTTTAACACTTCTGAGAATTAGCAACAACATCACAAGAAATGTGCCTCCTCCGGGCTCTGGAGACCACCTGGAGAAGATTCCAGGCACGTGTTGGCAACGATGGCGAACAAGTAGAGACTTTAACTTTTTAAAGCTATTAACATTAAATGTGTTATCATGTTACAGTGTAGTATTATCCGTTCTTTTTCCATTAAAAACTATAGTCCCATATATGTGTAGACATGTTTTTGAAGCACGCTGTATTTGGAGTATGCACGGTTCTCCCCGTGGTCGCGTCGATTTTTCTCCGGGTCTTCCGGCTTTCCCCTCCACGTTTATAAACAACGCGCCTTTCGAGTATTTGGCTGCTACAAATGTCCTCGTGATAGGCCACTTCGTTGACCTATCATTTGTGGCCAGGTCGCTTCTGAAAAAAGAGCCGTATAGCTCAGTGGGCCTTAGCTGGTAAAAAAAATATATATAGTTTTCGATTTAAAGCTTTCGTGACTGCAGGGATTCAGGTCTGAATGGACGCTGTCTCCCCGACAGGCCTGTTCTCCACCTGAGGACGGCTGCTTGCGTTGTGGCCGCAACGTCGTGAGAATTATGTTATTATGTTTTATTATTATTTTATTATTTCCCTTCTACGTGACTTTACCGAAAGAACCAAGAAGATATATATATATAGTTTTTAGCTCTTTATTTTTCAAGAACTGAATTCCA